GTGCAGCCCCCCCGCACTGCCAGCAGCCCGCAGAAAACGGCGTTTTCTCCCATTTCTGATCCCTACGGGCTTGAGCTCTGACGCCAGGGGAGAGCCGCGACGCTTCCAACCCGGCCGCTGAATGCGGGACGGGGCAGCGCTGCGGTGCTCACCTGCTTTTAGGAGAGCAACACCCGACTGCAGTCCCGATACGGTTTTCGGTAAGAAAGCAAAGCAATACGTTAACATTTGTGAGCTTTGGAGCTTTTGCTCTATCCCTTGTCTTGGTCTAATGTCGTACATACTGTCCCAATTGCTTTGGGAACGATAAACTTGACTTGTGGCTTAAATAAATACACGCTTGAGCTGGTAATTAGCAAGAACTGTGAGTAAAACAAGGTTGCTATGAGTGATAAACTTCATTATCTGGCTACTTCCTAAATTTGATTTCAAGTGTATCTGTTTCCTAACATTTTTAGAACAAGGTTTCAGAAAAGCTTGTGATGTTTTTTTAAAAAATTATTTATTTATTAATTTCACAAGACTGAAAGAGAGACTCCAAAGAAGAAATGCTCTCTCATCCATAAGTAGTTAGTGAATGATTCTTCCATTCTGTTTCTTCTTCAGGTTCAAAATACATATAACAGGTAGAAATGTACTACGTGCTTGAGACATAAGATTGGGTTAACATCCAATACGGGATGATGCTGACCGTATCCTGTGATCATTATCTTCCTAAACATCCGAAGTCTTTACAATATTTAAGTTGCCTTACAGATTACTGGAAAAACTGAGCAAGCTATGTTCCCCACGGTCATGTAATTTTAGTAGAATAGGCTTTGTATTTGAGAGCTGTAAAAATAATTTTAAGAAATGGATTACTGAACGTCATCGAGCTTCTAAATGTGCAGAAATGCCAACCTGATTACTAGTTTATAAAACTATCTAGTAGCAGTATGTTTAGTTGCATGTGGTGGATCTAAACAGTTGTTATGGAACATCCAAAGAGGAGAAATAACATCATACACCTTTAAAATCTTTACTAAAAATTTCCTTTTATGGTAGAGGAGCCATTAAAGAAAGCCTCTGATCAGATTAACTGATTGGAAGTCTCTGAAGACATAAATGAAAATGTATGTAGAGTATTGAGACTGGGGTCTCTCCTGTATCCAATATTAAACTCCCTTAATATATTCAGGCATAGTCAAGTAAGCGGTGAGTCGAGTGGAAATTTGATTCTGAAAGATGGGTTGCATCCAGCTGCCAGCAGCTACTGTAATCTGCTGTGATTCTGTGGGAGCAAAACATACCATCTGAAATCTTATCCCTGCAATGCAAACCTCAGTATATTCCTGTTGATTTCAAATTACCATAACAAAACAAAAAATCAGTCAAACCATAGGCAAAACTTCAGACTTCTATGCCTTTTGAATCTATAGTATAACAAAATCTTGGTGTGGATAACTGAACAATCTTATTTTTGTGCCATATGCCCAACATTATTTCCCTTCCTTTTCACAATAGCACATCCCAGCTCTTGTGTAAAGGCAATAGCATCCTTTCCCTAAATGTTTTATAAACCCTGGAAGAACGTAAAGCTGAAATGCAACCACATTCAGGCATTGTCACAGCTCTGTACCGGTATGCCAGAGAGGAATGGTAGGGATAACATTTATTATCCACCAGAGATTTTTGAAAAAGGTGTTCGGTCCATGAAAACCTTAAGGAATACTTTGTGCTCTGTGAAGGCATTGCCATAGCCATGCCCTCCCCAGGAAAAGCTTTTAGAGTTTAATGGAATGACATGGTAAGCCTGAGCTCATGTTCTATATAAAAAATTAATTTTTCTTTAACTCTGTTAACTGAGTGCAAGAACAAGCAATATGTAAAATGCAGGAGAAGTAAAGAATTTTTTTTCTTTTTTTAAGTTGAAAATAGCCCGCACAATTTTCACCACTGGGCAGGACGTGGTGGTTTCATTATTCCCAACACATCTGTGCTCTGTCCTGATGTTGTATGACTTCTGCTCCTGCATGAGGGGTAGAGAAGTGGCAGCGTGGGGGCTAGTAGGACATCCCCTTGTATTTCTGACAGGACTGGGGGCTCTTGGGGTTGGACTTGCTTGCTTTTTTTTTTTTAACTCTGAGGGAGACAACATATTCCCTCCCAAGCAAGCAAACAAAATGAGAGAAAGTGAAAGTATGAAGAGAACTTTCTCAGATCAGCCCACTAGATTTGCTTGCAAATGAAAACCATGGTAACATCTCTGTAGATGATAACACAGGAGTGGTCCTCTGGTTAAAAATCATTGAGCAACTATGACTGACAGGACCAGGAAAAAAAAAGCGACAGTGATGATTTTTATTTCCCAGGCAGGGAAGCTATAGGCTGAGAGAAATTACAATCAGTTTATACATTTTCCACTCTTTTTCTTTGTAATGGAAAGAATGCGTATCTCCAACGTATATCCTTTGTTTGTCTTTATTAAATAACCATTTTCTAATAAACAGGTGAGGAGTTAGAGACGTTCTAACAGGAATAAGATAAAATTAATCAAGTTTCAAAATGGGTTTTCAAAAATTCGGGTGGTGTTTAGAAATAAAACATTTTGTTCCTGCACCTGTAGCCTCGTGCAATGATGTTGAAATGCTCCTGCCAGGCGTAAGTGACATCTCACCCTTACCTTAGGCTGCTGGCTGGGGGGCGCCCCCCCCCGCCGCTGTTGTGCTGGATGGGCAGGAGATTGTTCAGGCTCCAGTGCTTTTCATGCTCATTATTGTGTGTTACAGAAATCCAATCTCCTATGCAGCGCTCAGTAATCAATTAATAATGGTAAAGAGTGTCTTCGTGCTCTCTTTACTCTCATTTCCTGCCTAAGCTGGAAAATAGTAATTTCTACAAAGATAGCACTGGGCAACTTGAAGCTTTAAGAAATATTTTCCATGTTATTTT